ATTTAGCCATTCGTATATTTTGCCTGTTTATGTTATTGTATTTTGCACAACTCTGTTGCTTGTGAAGCTCGCACACAAGAATTTCACTCGCATGTGCTGTATCAATGTACCTGCACATGTGATGTGACAATAAAAGTGATTTGATTTGATTATTATGGTTTTATATTTTTACAAATATTTTTAATTTTTTCTTAAAGGTTATTGTGGTGTACTTTATGTGTATGAATGCTGGGCAGACTTTTCAAAACTGAAAGCATCACAAATGTGTAAGATATAGTCACAGTAACTCCACCGATGAGGTGATGAGGGCTGTTGCTAATACGGGTTATACAGAGAGGACTTTAAGAAGTTAGCATCTAACTTCTGCAGACACCATTATTCTTTTTTCTTAGAAACATGTAAGTAGTCTATAATTACCCACTTAGCCACCAGTTGCTCATGGATTTGATAGACAGACTTCTTGCCCATTAGTTCACTTTAGCTGATTTAACACCACATTGCAGCCCTGCATTCTTCTAGACATTCCTTGAAGCAAGGACACTATGATGCTGTCAGATCAGACATTAGCAGTCTTCACAGTCTTTCCTGGAAGACTGACAATGTGTTGTGCTTTTCTTGATGTGTGCACAGAAAGTAAAAAAAAAGAGTGGGGGAGACAATAAAATAGAATAATAAAAACAATAAAAACTGAAGACAGCTTCAGAGACATTCAAATTGCTGACTTTCTTACCTCAACACAGCTGGCAAAATTGAGGTGAAGTTCAAATTGTTGGTTTTGGAAACAAAACCAACAAATTGTGACACAGGAAATGTGTTCGGCCAGGCATTTTCTGACCATTTCACAAGCGCTTCTAAAAGGTTTCACCGACCCCTGAAAAACAGCCCGTTCAAATATTCTGCAACAGTTTTTGTCAAGAATAGAGCACTTTGAAGAAATCTCACTGATGGCTGTCTCGCCTTTTTAGTCAGCAGGTCAGGCTGTAACATGGCACATTCGTGATACACATTTTTATCCAACAGAAATGTACATAAGCCTGTTACTGTTTTATTAATGGATGCTGAAGATTAAAAAAAATGAACAAAAGGAGAATTTGTAACATCAAAGCAACCTAGGTTACTGATCTGTTCATTGCACTGTAATGCATGAGCTGTAGAGGAAAGACAAGCAGACCTGAGCACCGAGCTTCTGTTTCGGTGGCCTCGAGGAAATATGAAGGATGCCTACAAGACTCTGGTGAAGCTGTGAGTGTTGTCTGGATGGGCTCTGGGGTCGGTCGAGGTACTCATCATGAAAGTGTAGAGGGAGAGCAACAAAGAAAGTAAGACTGGAAATAAAGTCACAGAGGCATAGTAGGAGAGACACAAAGGAAGTGAAGGGAAATGTAAAAGTAATCATCATTTAGGATTATTCCTCTGTGGCAGCAGTTGAGTCGAGGTCGTTCTTGTGTCAGTGTGCAGTGTGCATCGTGAAAACTGATTGATGATGCATCCAAGAGAAGAAAGGAAGTGTGCAACTGTCTAACTCTATATCCCCTCTTTGTCTCTCCTCTCCTCTCCCTCTGTCACTTCCCTGTCCTTGTGGCTGCACTGCCTGACAGCCTGTCATGAGCTAAACCACAGAAAGAATTTATAATAGCTCCTTTTTATTAGAGCTGTGTGTTTCCTCCAAGGCCTCGAAATGAGAGGTCATTCACTTTTCTAAGCACCTTAACTGAAAAACACTAAACAAGCTTAGTGTTGAACATTTAAGAACATTTTGAAATTAATGACTAATAATGTCAGTTCTGCACCAGAACTGCATGACCTAAAAACAGGAAGTGGCAGTATGCACCACCAGGGAGATGTCATTGCATTCTGGAAATTGGCAGTAACTGTGAGGTGTGAGGCAATAACATATGATGCATGTGGCACAACATATAAAGCCTGTTAGTGCAAAAATGTTTTTCGTTTTGAATTGATCTAAAACACTTGAAAGAACTTATCAGTTTGAATATCTTCATTCTTTTCATCATTCATTATTCAATTATTTGCTATGTGACCTGAACAAAGCTCCTTTAGAACATAGCGGTAGCATTTAGGGCAAGCAAGGCTGGCAGTGCTTTTCCAATAAAATCAGAAAATCACTATAAAAAAAATGAACTTACCGTAGTCTCTCTCCTTTCATCTTAAATAGCATTTTGCCATAAAACCTGTCTTACTGCCTTTAAATTACTGCCATTGTGTGTCCACAGTTGGCTATTGTCTCTGGAACCAGGATTTACTCCGCTTGACTCTGATTCCAATTAAATCTATAGGCCAGCAGAGTTTTCTAGCTGTTTCCACATGCACATTGTGGATAAACCTCTGGTTTTTGACTGGAAATTGATTTGGATACTGGCGCGCTAGACAATCTGCCCTGGCTCTACTTTCAGATCAGTTATCATGTACATTTTATTTAGGGCTGGGTATCGTCACTGATTTCTAGAATCGATTCAATTCCGATTCACAAGGTCCCGAATCGATTCGATCCACGATTCGATTTAATTCGATTCGATTTAAATC